CTGAGTTGATAGTGCGTGAAGCCACAGAGTTTACTTAACTGATAAGAATTAAATGTAACAAATTTCTAAAACATGTGCATTGTTTATTTGTTTCAGGAAATTCACCACCAGCAGTCTGTAGCCCAAAGCACTGCAGTGATGGAGAATGATAGCATGGATGTGGAAAGTCCACCTGCTGCTAAAGCCAAGAAGAAAACTCTGGCCAGTTTCTTCAAGGAAACCACATGCACAGCACCAAGAGCATCATTGTCATCAACAAAACAAAGCACAATTACAGATGTGTTTGTGAGTCTCACCCCATATGATAAGTCTTCACCTAGACATAAAGAAATCACGGACTACACAACGCACTGCTTGGCAAAAGACATGATGCCCATACACACCGTTAGTAAAGTGGGATTTCAGAAGATGATCCGTACACTGGACAAGAGGTACCAGCTGCCCTCTCGAAACTATTTCTCTCAAGCAGCGATCAATAACCGCAATATGAAAATTTTCCCAAATCGTGCAGCCCTAATATACGTAATAAACATACACAGCACACATACATACAAACTTTTATTTTGAATGCAATTAATCGCGATTAATCGTTTGGCAGCACTATATATATATATATATGTGTGTGTGTGTGTGTGTGTGTGTAAAATATTTTACATTAAATAGACACAAGTGTTATTTTAATATCTTTGTTATAAAACGGATAGTTCCGGTGCTTGATTCTGATTGGCTGAGCCGTGTTCGAAGCTGTTGTAAATTACTCTACAAAGTAACATACACTTTTGTTTACGTTTGTGTGTTGCTCGGCAACCACTTTGTTACAACCACAACTGTTTCTGAGGAGCTACATTGTTTGGTGGAAGAATACTGTTTTTATTAATATCATTACACTTTATTTGCTCTGTTTTATTTTGTGAAACCGTACTACGTATATGGAATAACCGTTTTATAAAAGCAATAATCCCCGTGAAGCCGTGGTTTACAGTGAATTTATAACAGCTAAGGGGCGGCTTCTTGGAGCTTATTGCTTTGATATACTATAGTTTTTGTTAGGATTTTCGAATTAGTTAATTCATTAACTGTTTCTGCACAGGTCTCAGTCACCTTGACGGCCAGGTGATCCTCCCAGTCGTTAGTCAGGCTCTTGTAGAACTCGCCGTACTCCTCATTAGTGATGTCGTCAGGGTTACGGGTCCACAGCGGCTTGGTCTTGTTGAGCTCCTCCTGGTCGATGTACTTCTCCTTGATCTTCTTCTTCTTCTTCTTCTTCTTGTCGGAGCTCTTGTCATCGTGGTCCTCGTCGTCGGAGCCCACGTCTTCGATCTCGGGCTTGTCCTCATCCTTCTCCTCATCCTCCTCTTCTTTCTCCTTCTCCTTCTCCTCCTCTGCCTCGTCGTCGCTCACCTCCTTGTCGCGCTCCTTCTCGACCTGAAACCAACAAAACGATTTCATCATTAAAACAAAAGCATAAAGCACTGCTTAAATTACTGTACATTATACAGATAGTTTTCCGTACTTACAGTTTTTAAAGACTTTCTAAGACTTTAAGTGTATCTGCATAGGGCTTCATAATGTAACAGGATTACTTGACTAATGTGTGTCAGGATCCTTAGTGAAAATATGCTGCTGATGTATTTTTGAGAACAATATAAAAAAAAAAACATTTTTTTATTTGTTTAGCTGCATGTCATGTGACCTTTAACGGGCATCATAGAACAGTAAATCGTAAATATTACTCTTAAAGTTAATTTAACTTTAAGTTATTATGCACATTTTACGTAAGTTAACTGAAGTATTAACTTGAATTTTAACTAATATTAACTATAATAATTTTTTTTTAATTTACATTTTTAATATATGATAAAACATATTTCTAATATTTAAATATTAGATTTTTTTTTTTTGCATGACCTTTAACAGACAACAAAGAACCATAAACATGCAAATGTGTTGTTAATTACCGAAATACTACCCTTAAGGTTAACTTATTATTATTACTAATACATTTTTTTTTAATTTACATTTTTAATATATGATAAAACATATTTCTAATATTTAAATATTAGATTTTTTTTTTTTGCATGACCTTTAACAGACAACAAAGAACCATAAACATGCAAATGTGTTGTTAATTACTGAAATACTACCCTTAAGGTTAACTTATTATTATTAATAATACATTTATTATTATATTTTATATAATATAAAAAAAAAAATGAAAAAGGATATTACAAATATTTAATTAGTATGTTTTAAAAATATTTAAGAAAGGTATATTTAATGTCATTAATCAACATCAGAGAAGTGTAAATATATTATTAAATTACCGAAATATTACCTCAAGTTAATTTGTCGTTAATCTATTAACTATATATTTTTTTATTTAATTTACAAAAAATAATTAGTATGTTTAAGAAATCTTAAATAACAGATATATTTAATTTGTTTAGCTGCATATCATTACTAAACATCAGAGAAGCGTAAACATGCGAATGTGCTGCTAAATTATTGAAATATTAACTTGATCTCAGGGGGACTTCAAGTGATTATCTTAAGTCAAATTTTAAGGGGTTGGCTGACACAAATGCTAGGGAATGCCTAATTTTTATATTTATGTTGTTTAGTAACTTACAAAGAGTGTGATGGGGTAGCCGATGAACTGCGAGTGCTTCTTGACGATCTCTTTGATTCGTCGCTCTTCGATGTACTCCATCTGATCCTCCTTCAGATGCAAAACCACTTTTGTGCCACGACCGATCGGCTCGGCTGGACAAAGAGCAACATCTGCGTTAAACCTCCGTTACAGCTCGCATTCAGTATTTCAACCACATTCATTCACTAAATCAAAATAGGGCTGTCAAAAAAAATTCGAATTTCGAATATTCGTCGGATTTCAAATAAAAATCCACATTCGAATGCAACGTTTAGGTGTGCGTCAGGCAGCATTATCAGTGGTGCACAAGATTAGGGCTGGGTATCGAGTTCGATACTTTTTAGGCACCGACCGAATTGCCTCGATACCATCGAGTATCGAAAAACGTCTCGTCGTTCGGTACCAAATTTCGATACCTAAGGGGTTAATCACGGAGCAGTCTGCTCTCTTTAGCTCTCGTGGTACCGTAATACACCGATCGGTCTGCACAGTCGGTCCGCGTCAAGTGAAACACACCTGCTAGTTTACCCCGGTTACACTCAGAGATGTGGCGCACACTTGAGGCTGTAGTGTGAATGCGTCCCAGCCCCCTTAGATGTAAGGATACATTTACACTGGTGCGTTTATGTTTTAAAATGAAAACGATCCTCGTCATACTGGCGTTTCCACTGCATTTCAAGCCGGCTTTCCACTATCTCCGACAAACGACAAGCGACAGACCGGTCATTCATTTCCAATGGAGAGTAGCGCGGGAACTGTGTGGAGTTCCCATCATATGCAGATGTCCGTTCATACTAATGTTCCACGACCGAAAGCGTGTTATGTGACCAATCATGCAAACTGTAGCATCATGCTACAGAAGACAATAAATACGATTTATATTCCGCTTTTACTCAAAACTCACTTTAAACCACCATCGAGTGTTTTAACTTCCGATTGCCGTCTAATGTGTGTTTTGGCCATGTAAAGTTGCTGAAATTAAGAATAAAAATAATAATAAAAAACTATTTTGCACTGATTAATTGCGTTGGTTACATTTTGTTCCTTTGTGCAGTGGCTCAGGAGATGAGTCTTTGAGTCTGTATAAACATCAACGAGCTGAAAAATAAAACCAAAGTTTTTTTTTAAGATAATGTAATCTTGTTAAAATTGATTTCATAAAATTTGTATCGAAAAAAGTATCGTTCAGGAACCAGTATCGAAGTCAAGGTATCGGTATGGAAAATTTTTGAACGATACCCAGCCCTACACAAGATGCGATGACGATGTAAGTGTAAAATTGCATTTTAATGCTTTTTTAGCCTATCCAGTTGAACCCACAAGATGGGGTGCTGCTACGTTGTTCATTCAAAATATTGTGGGAAAAAAAGAGAACATCAATGCGGAGAAGATCTTGTTTACGTCAAAACTGAAACCAAGCCGTTCACACAGAACGCATATTTATCGCATTTTCTAGAGGGACATCTATCAGCGTTGCACTCGCGTCTCGCACAAGAGAGCCGCATGTTTAGAAAGCCATGTAAAATCAATGCAAGTTCAACTTTTAAAAAACATGTCTCGAGACTTTATGGCGGTTTTTCCCCCATCCCCCTGCATCTCATGTTTTTAAATGAAAAAGTACTCTTTGTGATTAAACATAAATGTTATTTTCTGTAGGCCAGGCCTATATGTTACGATGAAATTAGGTGATGCATGAATTGATATGAATGACATTTTTATTTAACAACTACAATCACAGTATATTGACTGATTTGTTGAACTTCCAACCTTGTAAGCATGTAATAATAATGACAACATAAAGCACCTCTTTACTCTCGCGTGTCACGTGACCGAGTGTAATCGCAGCCTCTGCGGTTGAAAAAAACGTGTTTTTTCATATTGCGATATTATCGCAAATGCAATTAATCGTTCAGCCCTACTTTGTATTAAACTATACATACATACATGATGCTATTTTGTTTCTAATTGTTTAAGCAACTTAATTATATATGGTTTATTTGAAACATTATGCACTTTTTTCAAAGACAGTCGTGTTATTTTATTGCTTTGTATAAACGTGCATTAGTAATATTTTGCTCGATGCGCCCTCTTATGGCCTCAGGAGTAAACATTATGCACTTTTTTCAAACAGTCGTGTTATTTTATTGCTTTGTATAAACGTGCATTAGTAATATTTTGCTCGATGCGCCCTCTTATGGCCTCAGGAGAGAAGCCAAAAGCTTTTTTCTCCCCTAACTGAAATTATGCCTCAATATAATTCGAATATTGATAATATTTAAGTACAAAATTTGAATAAGCCATTTTGACAGCCCTAAATCAAACGACACTCACAGTTGTCCACTTTAACGGTGAACGATCCTCCTGCAGACGACTCCCACGCATACTGCTCGTCATCGTTGTGTTTGGTGAGGACCGTGACTTTCTCGGCCACCAAGAAGGCAGAATAGAAACCCACTCCAAACTGACCGATCATGGAAATGTCCGCTCCGGCCTGCAGAGCCTCCATGAAGGCCTTGGTGCCGGATTTGGCGATGGTGCCCAGGTTGTTGATGAGGTCTGCTTTGGTCATGCCGATGCCGGTGTCGATGAGGGTCAGCGTACTCTCTTGTTTGTTGGGAATGATTTCGATTTTGAGGTCTTTTCCTGAGTCCAGCTTGCTCGGGTCTGTGAGACTCTCATAGCGGATTTTATCCAAAGCCTGATGGTAAGTAAGAATATTTCATTTAGTTTTATGGGTTCAGTTGATCATTTGTGTCCCTGGAGCACAAAAGCAGTCTTAAGTCGCTGGGGTATATTTGTAGCAATAGCCAACAATACATTGTATGGGTCAAAATTATAGATTTTTCTTTTATGCCAAAAATCATTAGGATATTAAGTAAAGATCATGCTCTATAAAAATGTTTTGTAAATCTCCTACCATAAATATATCAAAACTTAATGTTTGATTAGTAATATGCATTGCTAAGAACTTCATTTGGACAACTTTAAAGATGATTTTCTCAATATTTTGTTTTTTTTTGCACCCTCAGATTCCAGATTTTCAAATAGTTGTGCTATCCTAACAAACCATACATCAATGGAAAACTTATGTATTCAGTTTTCAGATGATGCATACATCTCAATTTCAGAAAACTGACCCTTATGACTGGTTTTGTGCTCCAGGGTCACATTTAAGAAGCTTTAATAAGCCATAAAATGTAATGTGCATCTTATTATTGCATTACTGACTGTTTACATGATTTACTTCATGAAAAACTACTTGAAAGCAACATGCTATTTTTTAAAAGACATCTTTTAATTCTAATTAATATTTTGAAAAGCATTGTAATATTTTTTGTACTATGCATCTTTTTTTTTTTTTGTTGCTGTTTGCATGTCATTACTGAAGTAATGTTTACTTAATAAAAAAAATTGTAACTATTAATTTGTTTCAGTAGTTTACAAAGCTGTTGTATTGCTTCTTTGTTTTTTTCTCTTCATTTTATTATTGCTTAAGCAAACAGTAATCGTAATAATCACTTTATAAAATGACACACAGCCTTGAATTATTTTTATGTACACATTTTTTCTGAAGTAATATTTAATTGAAAAATACTTGAAACCTACATGCCATTTTTTTTATATTATATGATTTATAAATATTAATTGATATTAGTATTTTTAAAAACACCTCGTGGTGTAATGCAATCAGTAATAAAAATAACAATCAATTTAATTTTTTCAGTATGTAAAATAGCTTAAATGTAAACAAAGCAATGTTTACTTAATAAAAAATACCTTTAGGATAAATGCACTTGTTTAAAAAATTATTTTTTATTAGTTTGCATTAATTCAAAAAGCAATTTGTTGTATTGCTTGTAACATGCATATTTTTTTGTTGTTAATTTATTACTGTCTACACAGCCAGAGCCAGTTACAGTAATAATCACAATGTAGCTTTGAAGTAAAAAATAGTTTCAGAAAAACATATGCAAACGCTTCTCTGAAGCAGTGTTTACGTAATGAAGGCTACATGCCTTCTTATGTTATTTTAAATTGTGAATTATTTATTTATTTCAAGTTGTTAAAAGTTTAACAGCAGATTTTCATGGTGTTGTTGACAATAGTATGTTGCCATTGTTATTACTAAGCTACTATTACTTACTATACTATTACTCAATCATGTATTACACAGTCACGCACATCTGAAGAGTTAGAGATGAGCTCCCTGAGGAAGATCTCTTTGTTAGAATAGAAAGTGTTGATGATCAGAGACATCAGCTGAGCGATCTCAGCCTGAAAGGCAAAGGTCTCTGCCTCCTCCTCCATTGGCTGGTCATGTGCCTCCGGCATCTGTGCATGACAAACAAAATATATATAACATATACACAATATTTGACGAGTATGCTGTTACATCAAAGCACTTATCTGAGTTATTATACATGAAAAGCATTAGTATTCAACATGCATTTGGCTGATTAATGTAGTATGCATCACTGTATAACCTTCCTAAACCAATTAAGGACTCCTATAAAACCAATAAAGGGTTTTGCATTAATGCTATTAATACATATAAAGCTGAAGAGCTTGCGCGTGGTTCTAAAACAGCTTGTACGAACTCTAGCGCCTCCTGTCGGTCCAAACGTGTTATTACGAGCTTCTAGAAACTACCAAACTGTCTACATGCATTAACATGGAGCACATCACTACCACCCTATTGTGAACGAGACGCTATTCTGTCATTAAAAACACCAATGCATTCTGTTCAACTTAAACTTAAGTTTAATCTCTCTGAGGTAAAACTGTTAACTCCAGATGGTCTGAGGACTTCACGGCAGAAATACGCCTATTTAAATAGACTGACAGCAACTTGATGTAAAACACTTCATATTTGTTAAGATACAAGTTATAAATCGCCGTGTAAATGTGTAGTAGCATCACGACCGTTAAAAGACCGTTGACGAATGAATGAAGCGCGAATAAACGTCGAATATCCTCACAGCGTTTGCGCGAAATGGCAACTAAGTTGAATGATAATGAGTTGGGATGTTATTCTGATTCTATGTTCTTACCTTGGATGGTTTATTAGAGTGAATTAGATTAAGCGGTTCTCCGTTAAGCCTGTGAGGGGTTTCTCCTCAGCTGTCACGGAGCTTTGGGAGATCCTGTCGCGTGCGTTACGCTAGTGGCGGGCTTTTATACGTCCTTGACGGGAGAGCTCCAGAAATCTCTCGAAGCTTCTCAATGCTTTCCTATGGGCGCAGGGGGAGGGGCTTGGCTGTCAATCATCCATTTAACCGTTAAAAGGGGCGGGGACAAGACTGAGGGAGATGAAATTTCTAGCTTGCTTGGGAAATAAAAGTAAATAATAAAGACTGACTCCAGATCATATTTATCATTAGTCGTTTATTAAAAACTTTCAAGTCAGGTTTACAAAAAAACCCCAGCTTATATTAGAAAAGCTCAGAAAATTCAATTTTCTGGTACAGTAACTACGCAAAAAAACATTAGGAGACATTTAATTGGCTTGTTAACGTTCACTTTGGGATGTGGAGATTGTTTTTTTTATTACAAAAACGATGAATTAAATACATTAACAATTTAGTGCTATTCACACTAAAACTCTTTAGTCGACTTCCTCCATTCTAGAACTGTCGTCGTCACCCTCCAGAACTGGCATATCTTCTTCAGCGGGTTGAGTAATGTCTTCTACAGCAGAGTCATCATCATCAATGCCTGAAAGAGAAGAGATTAAATATAATTAAGTCATGTTCTCCAATTAAATTTCATTTTTGACTACACCCTTAAAAATAAAGGCCATAGAAGAACCATTTTTGGTTCCCCAAGAACCTTTCAACGAGCAGTTCTCACAATAACCATGTTTGTATTAGTGTAAAGAATGGTTTAATTATTTTAAGAACTTTTTTAAACTATAAAGAGCCTTCTGTGCAATGGAAAAGTTCCATGGATGTTTCAGGTTCTTCATGGAACCATCATGGAACCATCAAAGCCAATAATGACCCTTTATTTTTAAGAGTCTAATGGTGGACCAATATGTTTTAGTAGATGATGAATAAAATAACCATTTTTATTGGTGTCAAAAACATTTTAATAATCTAATTAACCTTTTTCCATTAATAAAAACATTTAGTGCAATGGAAAGGTGATGTTAAAGGTTCTTCATGGAACCATCAAAGCCAACAATGACCCTTTATTTTTAAGAGTGTAGTGGTGGACCAACATGTTTTAGTGGATAATTCTTAAAAGAACCATATTAAATTAAAATGTAACCATCTTAAGAAACTTTTTGTCCATTAAAAATGGAAAGGTTCCATGGATGTTAAAGGTTCTTCGTGGAACCATCAAAGCCAATAAAGAACCTTTATTTGGTGGACTGATATGTTTTAGTGGATAATTCTTAAAATAACCATTTTAAACCATTTTTTAAAGGTTATAGATGCCAATAATGAACTTTAATTATTAAGAGTGTAATGGTGGACTGTTTTTTTTGATGGGCGTTACCAATAACCATTGATAATGCATTAATAACGGTGATATATTAGGCCCTTGTGTTTACATGTATAATTTTTATTGTCATCCAACTTACCAAGACCAAGTTTGATCATCCTGTAGATGCGGTTAGCATGTGTTTGTGGGTCTTCTAGAGTGAATCCAGAGGAGAGCAGGGCGGTTTCGAACAGCAGGATGACCAAGTCTTTCACGGCCTTGTCGTTCTTGTCAGCTTCTGCTTTCTCTCTGAGCGTCTCGACGATGGGATGGACGGGGTTGATTTCTAGGTGCTTTTTAGCGGTCATGTAGCCCATGGTGGAGTTGTCCCTCAAGGCCTGAGACTTCATGATCCTCTCCATGTTGGCCGTCCATCCGTATGTGCTTGTGACGATGCAGCAAGGCGAAGCCACCAGACGGTTTGAGACGGTGACCTGTTTGGATACACTATAATTTAATGGCTCTGAAGAGTATTCACTTCAAAATCAAAGCCTAGTATGCTAACAGCTCATACCTTCTCAATCTTTTTGTCCAGAATGTCTTTCATGATCTTGCACAGGTTCTCAAACTTGGCCTTCTTCTCCTCCTGCTTCTTCTTCTCCTCCTCGTCCTCGGGCAGCTCCAGACCCTCTTTGGTCACTGATACCAGGTTTTTGCCATCGTATTCCTTCAGCTGCTGTACGCAGTATTCATCGATGGGCTCGATCATGTAGATCACCTCCAGACCAGCTTTGCGCAGGCGCTCCACGAAAGCAGAGTTGGCCACCTGATCTTTGGTCTCACCTTTGGAGAACAAGAGCAAGGTTTGTAGGAAAATGATCTGTGTGTTAAAATAATGTTTAAATTAATTTTCCAACTACTAACCAGTAATGTAGTAGATGTGCTTCTGACTGTCCTTCATGCGAGACACATAGTCCTTGAGGGACACCATTTCATCTCCAGAAGCCGATGTGTAATAGCGAAGCAGCTCTGAGAGTTTCTTCCTGTTCTGAGAGTCTTCATGGATGCCCAGCTACAATTGAGAAAAGCTATTTTAGCCTGGAAATATGATGAATATGATTTTTAATAACTACTCAAAAAGTGCACACACCTTGATGTTCTTGGAGAACTGCTCGTAGTATTTCTTGTAGTTGTCTTTGTCCTCTGAGAGCTCGGTGAAGAGCTCCAGACACTTCTTGACCAGGTTCTTGCGGATGACTTTCAGGATCTTGCTCTGCTGAAGCATCTCTCTGGAGATGTTGAGCGGCAGATCCTCAGAGTCCACAACACCCTTAATGAAGTCTGGGAGGAAAGTTTAACTCGTTAACATCTAAACTCACGGGTCAAATCGATATCAGATGTATAATTTCTAGGAATTGTTCGTAAATTAACTCCTGAGACACTTACTGAGATATTCTGGAATGAGTTCCTCGCAGTTGTCCATGATAAAGACCCTGCGCACGTACAACTTAATGTTGTTTCTCTTCTTCTTGTTCTCGAAAAGGTCAAAAGAGGCTCTTCTGGGCACAAACAATAGAGCGCGGAACTCCAATTGGCCCTCAACTGAGAAGTGCTGCAACAATAAGACGATTGGTGGTTTAAAAGCAAGAATATTGGTTGTTTAAAAGCAAAACAATTGGTGGTTTAACAACAAAATGATTGGTGGTTTAACAAAAAGAAAATTGGTGGTTTAAAAACAAGAAAATTGGGGGTTTAAAAAGAAGACGATTGGTGGTTTACAACAAGACGATTTGTGGTTTAAAAACAAGACGATTGGTGGTTTAAAAACAAGACGATTGGTGGTTTAAAAACAAGACGATTGGTGGTTTAAAAACAAGATGATTGGTGGTTTAAAATCAAGACAATTGGTGGTTTAAAAACAAAACGATTGGTGGTTTAAAAACAGGACGATTGGTGGTTTAAAAGCAAAACAATTGGTGGTTCAAAAGCAAGACGATTGGTGGTTTAATTAAAAACAAGACGATTGGTGGTTTAAAAATAAGATGATTGGTGGTTTAAAAAACAAGACGATTGGTGGTTTAAAAACAAGATGATTGGTGGTTTAAAATCAA